GACCAATCTCATCACTAGGACTCCATACACCTTATTTAAGGAGTTCTGGTAGCGTAGTGGTTACGAATCGGGTTGCAAACTGCAAGGTCAAAAGTTCGAAACTATCAGCTATTCTGTGGGAGAAAGATGAGGTATTCTGCTCCTGTAAAGATTTACAGCCTCGGAAACCCTGTACAGGGTCGCTATGAGTCGGACAGAACCAACTCCACGGCACACAGCCACACCTTGTTTGGATGACCACATCTGCCCAAGGATGCCTAGAAACTTATTTGCATTATTGAAATACTAGCAATTCAATCCTCTAGGTGGGCCATAAGCATCTCATTTCTATATTCCTACCCAATCAATTAGTGGGAGTTACAAGACTATGGTGAGAAAGATCACACAAAATTGGTCCATCACACTACAAAAGGACATCCAAAGAACAGATCAGAAATACTGAAATAAATATGCAAATGGAATGCAAACTGCTTATTCCATGGTCATGGTGGGGGTAGTACGAATTGTCCTGCTGCTGTACATAATTCATTGGCACATCAATAAACAAGAATTATTTCCCATTGCTATCAATTTTCTGGTTGGTGGTTCAAGCTCACAAACTGCTCCTCAGAAATCCTATTCAGGGTCGCTATGAAACTGACTCGACAGCACTTAACAACAACATCATTCATTCACAATTTAGATTTGTAGAAGAGCTCCCTAGGAATCAGTCTCAGATAACTCTGAACACTTCTTAGGCAGAATTTTTTTCCTACTTATGTTAAGATACAGAAATAAGATATAAAGTAGCCAAGAATAGTCTTGGATGGCAATGGGAATATACTAGTCATAGGATAACTTCCCAATTTAATGAGCATGAGACTAAGCTTTTTCCTTCCTTAGTCTCTGGTTCACTGAGTGTGGGAGAACAAGTTCTTCATCGGCTCAAACCCACAGAATGAATTACTCAATGGCCACGGAAACCAAAAGCTAATTCTGTTGCCATGCAGTAGATTCCAGTCTGTGGCCAGCCCATCTATACTACAAAGCAGAAAGGACATTTATAGGATTTTCCTGGCTGTAATTTTTATAGAAGCAGACCATCAGACTTATCTTCTGGGGCAAAGCTGGGTAATTTCAAACTGCCAATCTTTTCTCTAGTTGTTGTTAAATAAAGTCCAATCAGTTTCTACTTATAGCCACTCTGTATAGGGTTTCAAAGGAGCAGTTGTTGGATTTGAACCACTGACCTGAGGCTAGCAGTTCAGTGGTTATCCTAGAATGCCACACCAAGACCCCTTTTCTGTAGTTATTATTAAGTGTCATCGAGTCGGTTCTGACTTGTAGTGACCCTGTATGTTTCCACAGAATAGCTGGTAGGTTTGAACTGCCAGCCTTTAGGTAGCAGTCTAGTGCGTAGTGAGGCAGCACTGGAGGCACTCACTCATCTCTGCCAAGAAATTTGGGAGACAACCATCTGGCCAACTGATAGGAAGAGATCCATTATTTGTGCCCATTCCAAAGAGAAGTGACCCAACAGAATGCGAAAAACGTCTGACAATATCTTTGATATCCCATTCGAGTAAAGTTTTATTAAAGGTAATACAGAAATGGTTGCAACCATACATTGACACAGAGAACTTCCAGAGCTGGATTCAGAAGAGGATGAGAAACATTGCTGACGTCAGATGGATCTTGCCTGAAAGCAGAGAATACCAGAAAGATGTTTATCTGTGCTTTATTGATTATGCAAAGGCTTTTGATTGTGTGGATCATGACAAGCTATGGACAACATTGCAAAGTATGACTATTCTGGAACACTTAATTGTGTTCATGAGGAATCTGTACCTGGACCAAGAGGCTATGTGCACAAATAGAACACAGGAACACTGAATGGTTTAAAATCAGGAAATGTGTGTGACAGGGCTGTATTCTTTCACTATACTTATTCAATCTGTATGCTGAGCAAACAACCTGTGAAGCTGGGTTATATGAAAGAAAAACGTGGCATCAGGATTGGAGGAAGACTCATTAACAATCTGCGATATGCAGATGATACAACTTTGCTTGGTGCAAAGAGCACAGCCTTCAGTAAGGATTGCATCTTAATGTAAAGAAAATAAAACTCCTCACCACTGGACCAATAAACAACATTCTTATCAATGGAGAAAAGATTGAAGTTGTCAAGGACTTCATTAGTCTCAGATCAGCCATCAACACTCATGGAAGCAGCAGTCAAGAAGTCAAATGATGTATTACATTAGGCAAATCTGCTGCACAAGAACTTTTAAAAGTGTTGAAGAGCAAAGATGTCAGCTTGAGGACTAAGGTGCGCCTGACCCAAGCTACGGTATTTTCAATAACCTTATAATATATGTGAAAGTTGGACAATGAATAAAGAAGACTGTAGAAGAATTGATGCATTTGAATTATGGTGTTGGAAGAGAATATTGAAAATGCCACGGGCTGCCGAAAGAACAAACAGATCTGTGTTGGAAGAAGCGTGGCCAGAGTGCTCCTTGGAGGTCAGGATGGCCAAACTTCATCTCTCATACTTTGGACATATTGTCAGGAGGGACAGCCACTGGAGAAGGATATCATGTTTAGTACGGTGGAAGGTCAGAGAAAAAGAGGAAGACGCCCAGCAAGATGGATTGGCAAAGTGGCAGCCATCAATGAGCTGAAGCGTGGTAACAACTGTGAGGTTGGCCCAGGATCAGATAGTGTTTTATTCTGTTGTGCATAGGGTCGCTATGAGTCGGTACCGACTCGATGGTACCTAACAACAACTAGTGCTTATCCTAAAGTGACACACCCAAATACCTATTCTGTAGTTTTTAAGTGCCATTGAGTCGGGTCCGACTCATGGCTACCGGGTCCGACTCATGGCTATCCTGTATAGGGTTTCTGAGAAGCAGCTGGTAAGTTTGAACTACCGATTTTGAAGTTCAAACCGACCTTGCAGTGCAGCGCATTAACCCACAGCACCACACCAGGACTCTATGTTATGTAGTGATGGCGGCTGTGTGCAGTGGAGTCGGGTAGGACTCATAGCGACCCTGCACAGGGTTTCCGAGGCTGTAAATCTTTACAGGAGCAGAAAGCCTCATCTTTCCCCCGCAGAACAGCTGGTAGTTTCGAACTGCTGACTTTACGGTTTGCAGCCCGATTTGTAACCACTACGCTACCAGAGCTCCATGTTCTGTAGTAGCGGAGCACAAACTGACAAAACTTTTTGTTTTTTTGCCACCAACCTAGAAGTAAAACTTCACTTTCAAAAAGGTATCCTGTCATTGGATTGTGTATTTGGCCCTGTTTGCTAGTTGGGAAGGAGTGGCTTCCAGGATCTGTTACAGGAAGTGCCAACCAAATTTCCGCCTTTCAAGGGAGGGGTCGTGCCTTATAAGGATTAAAAATAGGCAGGTGAGGCAGAGTTTCCATACAGCAAGTTTATTATAGGAAAGAGACTTGCAAATCCTACATGGAGAGAGTTTACCGCAATGCTTACTCCATCTCCCGGAGCAAAGGTTTGGGGTAGGGAAAAGACAAATCATGTTCATTCATAGGTACAGGTGAGGATTTCTGGGAAATGGCCTGTTTAGGAGGGGCCATGTCTTGGTGTGAATCCTGGTGTGACACTATAGGTTAATGTGCTGGACTGCAAAGTCAGTTTGAATTGCAAGGTCAGCAGTTCAAGCTCACCAGCCTGTCCTCGAAAACTCTACACAGGGTTGCTATGGACCGGAAAGACTGGTTGGCACTTAATAACAGCAACAACGTATCCTGGTGTGGAGCTGTGGAATAATGCACTGCTGTGCAAAGTCGGTTTGAACCACAGGGTCTGCGTGCTCCTTGGAAACCCTAAACTGGGACTATGAATTAGAACCCACTCAGCACTTAAGAACAGCATGTTATTTGGGTGTGTATGCAGCATTTCTTCAAGATGGATTCCACAGGGAACACCTAGGATAGGAGCAAGACAGAACTTGTCTGGAAGATGTTGAGCATTCCTGGTTCTTCAGGACTCTAATTCAGACTCTTCTCAGTCTTGTGGTTCTTCAAGACTTAATTCTCCTTTGCCCCAGGAGAAGCTTTTTCCCTTAAAGTTATGACTGGGGCACTAGGTAAACAGTCAAACTTGTAAAATAACTCACAAGGAAGTAAAAATATAGGAGTTTAATCGGTCGTCTTCCTTAATGGCAAGTCCCTTAGAATATGGAACTTTTATGAGTGGTCTTTCTTAATGGCATATCCCAGAATGGGGCTTTTCAACTATGGCCCTTGGCATGTCCTTCTTGCACATCGTTACAACTGTCCAAGGAATGAGGGGCACAGGTCTCGACATTCCTGAAGATTTCAGTTATAAAATTTCAACAAATAAGTGTCTCATATTTCATTTTCATTTCTGGACCCATTTTTCCTCGTCTCCGGTGAACATTATTCATAAATTAACCTGAATTGAGATCCATACTTCAGCCCATTCCCCTGCCTCCTAGCTATCCTGGACTAGACGTTTTTGGTAATGATTCTGCTAGAAATGGTTGTTCCTTTAAAAGGTCACAGCCTAGAATCTGGAGTTTGAACTGGCTTTGTGTTAGGCTCAACCCTTCATCAGCTTGTTTCTTTTGAAAAGAAAAGAAAAAAAAAAAAAAAAAAAGAAAAGAAAATAATGCTTGGCTGCCCAGGTTACTAAGAGATTAAAAAGACACGTGATTAAAAAAAGAATCTATCTTCCCTTCTTTTAGGATGTCAGGGTCAAAGTTCACCACTGGGAAAGACTATGTGACTGGACCGCTTGCTTTCAAGGGTCCGCTGAGCTTCCACGGAACTGGGCAGCAGGAGCCCCACGCTCTTCGCTGCTGGCTCCGCCCCCTCCACAAGGTCGGAGCCCGTCAGAGTTGAGGGGGTCGCGGCCAGCCCGGGGTGGAAGTCCCACTGGGGGGCGGGGCGGCCCCAGGCTACCCAGTTCCTGATTCTATAAGTGGTGCCTGGCAGCGCCACAGCAACGGAGACTGTGAAGGATGGGCCCGCGCAGCGCAGCGAGCCTGCTCGGAGGCCCCAGCCAGCGGAGGCCGCTCCTCTCCGGCGTCCTGTCGCTGCTGCTGCTGCTGCTGCAAGCGCCAAGCTCGGGCGCCGGGGTAGGCCGGCCGCCTCACTTGATTTTCGTGCTGGCGGACGACCTGGGCTGGAACGACGTGGGCTTCCATGGCTCGAACATCCGCACACCGTACCTGGACGCGCTGGCGGCCGGCGGGGTACGACTGGACAACTATTACACCCAGCCGCTGTGCACGCCCTCGCGAAGCCAGCTGCTCAGCGGCCGCTACCAGGTAAAGCAGCGCCCCCGCCCGGCGCCCGGCATCCTGCGCGCTTCTCTTCCCAACGGCATCCGCACTGGTTCAGTTTCTCGGAAGTGGCTCTTAAGGCCCAGATAGGCCCGACCAAACTGGGTGCTACAGAAGTTGGTTCTGGTCCAGGTTGTGGCTTCCTTGTCCCTTCCGGGCCTGTCGCCTTTCGCGGCTCTGCGCAGGCCCGGCTGCAGGGCGGCCCGCCCCCGGGGACACCCTTCTCCAGGGTTAGAGCGTGGGGCCTATGCACGGATCCTTTTCTGTCTTCCGTGTTCTGAAGTCCGGTGAAGGTGTTTCTGAGGCTTGCGAGGTGCTGGGCTCTGCAAGCTGGTGGGGTCAGCGTGGACTTAGCCAAGTGGTGCTGGAGTAGGATGGAGGAGAGAGGGCGCTCCAGGTGTCCAAAAGAACAGAGAGTGGCGGGGAGCTCTAGGAAAGCAACCCCAAGTTCTATCACATGAAAAACAATGCCCTCTTTGCCTGTCCCTCTGACCTCCTCTGAACTCAGGGATCATCATAAGTTCGGGAGTATCTGACCAAACTAGTTTTACCAGGTTCTCAGCTATAGGATAAGCACTGGACTGCTGGTGTGGCGCTGTAGGATAAGCACTGAACTGCTAATGCAAGGGTAGTGGTTCAAATCCACCAGCCACTCCTCGGAAACTCTATGTTGTTGTTGCTAAGTGCCTGGAGTTGGTACCTACTCATAGCGACACTCTAGGGTTTCCAATGCTTTAAATCTTCTTCAGAAGATTTATTAAAAGTATCTTAGGGAGCAGAAAGTCTCATCTTTCTTAAACTGCAGACCGGATTCTATCTTATGGAAACACCGTGCTCCCTCTGAAACAGTATACAGGGTCACTAAGAGTTGGAACTGACTCGACAGTACTTAACAACTGCACCCCTAGAATGAAACTTACCCAGGTTGATTTCTCTTGAGTTTTTGATTTTCACTTTTAGTTTTATATTGAACTCCTCTAAGCCTGTTCAGTCTTCTTTTAAAACGCCTCTTTAAAACTTTGTACTTAATGTTGTTATACGCTGTCAAGTCAGTTCCTACTCATACTCATAGCGACCCGGATAGGGTTTCCGAGAGTGGCTGGTAGATTTGAACTTGCGACCTTGAGGTTAGCAGCTTAGCACTTTTATCCTGTTGTTGTTGTTAAGTGCCGTCGAGTCAGTTCCGACCCATAGCGACCCTGTACAGGGTTTCCGAGGGTGTAAATATTTACGGGAGTAGAAAGCCTCATCTTTCTCCCGCGGAACAGCTGGTAGTTTCGAACCGCTGATCTTAAGGTTCGCAGCCCGATTCGTAACCACTACGCTACCAGAGCTCCTTTCCTGTAGCGCCACGAAATATATGTATGGTGGTGGCTGTGTGCCGTGGAATCAGTTCCGACTCATAGCGACCCTGTACAAGGTTTCTGAGGCTGAAAATCTTTATGGGAGCAGAAAATCTCATCTTTCTCCCGCGGAACAGCTGGTAGTTTCGAACTGCTACCCTTGAGGTTCGAACTGCTAACCTTGAGGTTCGCAGCCTGATTCGTAACCACTACGCTACTAGTGCTCCTCAAATATATGTATAGAAATAACAAAATGAAACAAACTCTTGGGATAGAGTGAAGTCCGACTCTTGGTGACCGCGTTTGTTTACAGAGTAGAACTGAGCTCCATAGCTTTTCTTGGCTCTAATCTTTGCTCTGGTAGCGTAGTGGGTCGCTATGGGTCGGAACCGACTCGACGGCACTTAACAACAACAACAACAATCTTTGCAAAGGCAGATCGCCAGGCCACACTTTCTAGATATCTGGTGTGGCACTGCGGGATAATGCGTTGGACTGCAAAGAACTGCAAGATTGGCGGTTCAAACTCACCTGCCACTCCTAGGAAGCCCTATTCAGGGTCACTATGAGTTGGAACAGACTAAATAGCACTTAGTAACAACAACAATGATGGGTTTAAATTACCAATCTTTTTATTGGTTCTTGTTGTTGTTAAGTGCCGTCGGGTCGGTTCCGACCCATAGCGATTCTATATAGGGTTTCCCTACGTGCAGCCGTTGAGCTTGAAGCACCGACCTTGAAGTTCAAATGGACTTTTTAGTCCAGCCCATTAACCCACAGCACCACACCACAGGACTCCAGGTACAAACTGTTTGTACCACTCAAAAACCTTATATATGTAGAGTGTATATGTAAGGATATTAAGATCATTTGTATAGTGCTTTCCTGTTTTTTAAGGAACCCTGGTGGTACTGTAGCATAAGCACTGAAGTGCCAGCCTCAAGGTTATCAGTTCAAACCCACCAGCTACTCTGCAGGAGAAAGTTAAAGCTTTCTGCCCCTGTAAAGATTTGCAGCCTTGGAAACCCTACATAGGTCACTAGTGCTTGGAATGGACTCCATGGCAGTAGGTTTGTTTTTTTTTAGGGGGAGGAGTGGTGCCAGGAGTTTATTGTTTTTCAAAAAGCCCTGTTAGTGCTGTGAGGTAGGCATGTTGAACTGAAAGCTCAGCAGTTCAAACCCACCAGCCAGCCACTCTGCAGGAGAAAGATGAGGTGGTCTTTTGTAAAAATTGAGTCTTGGGAACCCTATATTGAGATGCTATGAGTTGGAATCAACCCCATGGGTTTGGTTTGAGTTTGGTTACTATTTATACTCTTTAATTCACTATTAACAGTTGAGAAATACCTCTGAGACTATGATACATTTGAATCACACTGCTATAAAGTAGTAAAGCAGAGTCCTGTACCTTTTCTGCATCCAGGAAGCTTCTCAGGCCTATCAGATTGGATATTCTCCCCTTCATTTGAATAAAATTTAAATTTTTATAAGACTGTTACAAATGTTGTTGTTACCTGCCTTGGGGTGAGTTCTGACTTACAGTGACCCTGTATAGGGGTCCCTTTCCTTGGGACCCCTATACAGGGTCACAAGGTTTGAACCACCAACCTTGTGGTTAGCAGTCCAGTGCTTATCGTACAGTGCCACACAGTACCACATAAATAGAATAAATGGGTAGTATTTGAGGACACTTACATACCTATATAAATGTTGTTGTTAAGTGCTGCTGAGTCGGTTCCAACTTATAGCAACCCTGTATAGGGTTTCTGAGGAACAGCTGGTAGGTTTGAACTGCCAACCTTGCTTTACCAGTACAGTGCTTACTCTACAGCACCACACCAGAACTCACATACTACATAAATATATACCGTTGTTTCAGACCACCCCTAATTGTCTGCATCAATGAGAAAATGCAATAAGGATTTACACAGTGACCCAGAAGACGTTTATAAAGAGAAGAGAGTGTGTTTTACTAAGGGACTGAGAAGTAGGTATAGTCTGCATTTGAATGGAGATAAAGGGAAGGCTCTCTTTGCCATCAACCCTAAATACCTTCTGCAGTTCTGACCTTCGTGTGCATAAGTCTTAGAAAATACCCCTGTGCTAATGGGTACTTTGAAGGAGCTCTGGTAGCGTAGTGGTTACGAATCGGGCTGTGAATCTTAAGGTCAGCGGTTCGAAACTACCAGCCGCTCCGCGGGAGAAAGATGAGGCTTTCTACTCCCGTAAAGATTTACACCCTCGGAAACCCTGTACAGGGTCGCTATGGGTCGGAACCGACTCGACAGCACTTAACAACAACAACAACAATGGGTACTTTGTAAAAGGGAATGAGAGCAAAGAATCAAGAAAGGCAAGATCTTCCCCACAGGTTCTGCATTTGCTCTTAAGTAAGAAACCGAATTCACATTGCTCAAGAATGGACTTCCTCTCTCTCCTCCTCAATAGACTTGTGCAGGAAAGCAAATACCACACTTTCAAAACTCTTTTTCTATGATGAATGCTTTTGAACTTATACGCTACCCGCCTCCCCTGCCTTTAGTCACCACTGTTAGTTTTGGAGGAAAAAATCCAGAAACCGTGAAGTGTTCAGAGTGGACTGTGCTCAAGAAACAAAGAAAGGATATAAGCTAGGCATTGCAGGATGGATTTAGAGACCGTTCAACACAACAGACTCTAAAGCTGCTCTAGCCTAACGTTTCCCTGGACTTTACTCCCCACATTATTCTCTTATAGTTCATGGGGTCTCATTTAAAAATACCTTGGGTTAGCAAGCATCCTCTTTAAAAAGAATAAATAATTCCAGGACATTTGCGCCTCATTGCCTTCAGATACGATGTCCGACATGTTCTGAGCTCATTACATGTATTAACTCATTGAAATCACACTACAACCCTATTAAGGAGCTCTGGTAGTGGAGTGGTTACGAGGCAGGCTACTCCCTCAAGGTTAGCAGTTCGAAACTACCAGCTGTCCCACAGGAGAAAGAAGAGGCTTTCTGCTCCTGTAAAGATTTACAGCCTCAGAAACCCTATACAGGGTTGCTATGAGTTAGAATTGACTCCACGCACATAACAGCCAGCAGCCAGCCAACAACCCTACTGGAGTCCTGGTATGGCACTGTGGGTCAATGTGATAAACTGCAAGGTCACTTTGAACCATAAGGTCAGTGGTTCAGTTTCACCAGCCGCTCCTCAGAAACCCGATACAGGGTTACTATGACTTGGTACTGAATCGATGGCACTGAACAACAACAACCCTATTAGGTGGTTTTGACTGGTGGCTTTGAACCACTGACCTTGTGGTTAATAGTTCAGTGCTTTATCCTATAATGTAACACCAGGACTTCCTGGCTAGAAGAGGATAAGAAATTTGCTTAAGGTCACAGGATGAGTAGGTGGTAGAGCCCGGATTTGAATCAGGGTTGATGCTTGTCATCACTATACTACATTGTTGTTATGTGCTGAGGAGTCGATTCCGACTAACAGCGACCCTGAACAAAGTTTCCAAGGCTTGTAAATCTTTACGGGAGCAGAAAGCCTCATCTTTCTCCCATGTAACAGCTGGTAGTTTCAAACTGCTTACCATGAGATTAGCAGCTCAATTTGTAACCACTATGCTATCATCTGAGTAGGTAATGTA